CTCTCTCTCTCTCTCTCTCTCTCTCTGTTACACACAGACACACACACACACCATCTGCCCTGGGCTGGCTCTGCTTTACATCTCCTGCCCAAACAAGTGTGGGGGCAGCTGTCTCCCTGGCCACTCTTCCAAGGTCTTGTCTGCAGCCCTGGAAATCGGAGGCCCAGATCCCTCCATAGATTAGCCAGGGAGGTGACCATGCTCCACTGGCCACAGAGGCAATGGTAAGCCTTCTGTCCTTCCAGGAGGGGTCCAGCTTGTCACCAAAGTCCCGAGCACCAGGTTTCATTGGCCCGACCCCTCTCCCTAAGATGGCCAGGTCTTGCTTCCTCTCCTCCTGATCCCTGCTCTGCTGGGGGTGTGAACAGCCACACCCAGCTGTAAGGGCTGCTTCTGAAGTCGGCTGATTTTCAATTAAAGAAAAAACTGTGCAATCTGGCTCTGTGTGCCACTGGTTGTGGGCTGGCACTGAGGATCAAAAAGAAAGCAGACGCACCCGAACCCACCTCATCTACCACCTAGGCTCTGCTTCTCTAGCCCTTCCCGGAGTGCCTGCGCTTTGTCTTTGTTGTGGTGTCTGCCCTTAGAAGGTACTTCTTCTTACCCTCAAGTCCGGGGCTGGAAAAGGTTCCAAGTGACCAGGCCCAAGACCCAGGATCTGACCACATCCCCATTCTTTGTAGGCACTTCCATTGCTTCAGCCATCCTTAAGCTGGACTCCAGAAACAGACGAGGCCCGAAGGGGCATCTTTCTTCCCCCTCACTCAGAGTGTTTGTCTAGCACCTGCCAGCTGTGGGCACCAGGCTGGACCCCCTCCCATCGGGAAAGAAGCTGCAATGTAGTAGAGCCCTGTATGCTTGTCTTGACAGAACTCAGAATAATTCCAGAGCCTGACTAGTCACGGCTGTGGGCAGTCCCCATGGTAACACTTGAGAAGGGGCAGAGGGAATGAACCTATAGAGCAAGGGCACTGTAAGTGAGGCACCCGCCTATGCCAGCCTGGCTAGGCTTTCCCTGCCCCTGAAGTGCTTCCATAGGGTCCCCCTGGGTGCTGGATCACATCATGGGCCCTGCATGCAATCAAAGCATCCACTTGCACCCAGGGAAGCCTGGACACTAGGGACACAAGGCTTGCTTGGAAGGGGACAGTCCCGAGAGCCATGCCCTCTTGGAGGCAAGCCCATTGGGCTGAGGTGGCCCCTGGCTTGACCTGCAGTTCTCTCTGTCCTACATGAGGAGCCTCCTGGTCAGCTGGAGCTCCCCTGAGCGGCTGCGAGCAAGCAGCAAAAATAGAGCAGACAGGGCCTGCATGGGCAGCAGCCCAGGGGAGGTGGAGCCCAGAGGTGGCTCCTCACACACAGCCCTTACGCCTGGCCTGGCACCCGGGGCACCTATCGTCCCTAGGTTTTTCCTTTTGGGGATGGGAGGCGTCGCTCGGCGTGGTGGCCCAGCGATAGAATGTCACTGGGCAGCATCATAGCACTATTCTGGGGCATGTGTTCCACAGCCTGGCAATCTCTGCTGAGCTGGGCAGGCGCAGGGCAAGGGCACTGGCCAGGGGCCAGGAGTCAGGGCCTCAGTCAAGTCCC